AGCCCGGTGTCAGAGATCCATCCTGTGGGGGAATGCCGAGTAGCCTGTTCTGTTTACTGCAGTGTCTTATCCAAGGGCTGAGCCAAGAGGGTTGTTGAGGTTTGGTGTTTGTCCTAGTCACTGTTCTATTGCTGCGAAGAGACACTGTGACCAAGGCAACGCTTAGAACAGACAACGTTTAACTGGGGCTTGGTTACAGGTTCAGAGGTTTAGTTCCTTATCAGCATTGGCAGGGAACATAGTGAAGAAGGTAGGTGCTGGAGCAGTAACTGGGAGCTACATCGTGATCTGTAGGCAGAGAGGGGGGAGGGAGGGGTAGGGGAGAGAGAGGGAGGGGAGGGAAGAGAAGTGGAGGCAAGGAGAGGAGAGGAGAGGAGAGGAGAGGAGAGGAGAAGAGAGGGGAGGAGAGGGACTGACTCTGGGCCTTGGGTGGGCTTTTGAAACCTCAAATCCACCACCTGTGACAGACACACTTGCTCCAACAAGGCTGCACCTCCTAATCCTTCTCCTCCTTTCAAATAGCCGCTCCCTGGTGACTAAACACACTAAAAACCTCTGGGGGCCATTCTTATTCAAACTACCACAGCATTTGTCCTGACTCTGATCTGAGAAACTTGTGATTCTTTTCCCCCTGAAGACTTATTTTTTGACAAGTTCTTATACAGAAGTTTGGCCTTGAACTTACTAACACAGCTGAGAGTGACCTTGAACTACTGATCTTCCTGCCTCTGTCTCCCGAGTTCTAGGCTTGTAGGGACATGCCAGCCTGCCTGGCTTATACAGCTGGGGATCAATCCAGGGCTTTGTGCCTTTGTAAGGGATTTACCAACGGAGCTATGGCCCTGGCGCTCAGGTCTGAAGTTTGGGGTGTGTAAATGCAGCTGTACCCCCTCTCTGTGGGCTCCCTGCCATTAACTTCTCTGGCATGTGTCTAGCGGCTGGCTTTCCTGGCTTAGAGGAGGCTCCATCTGACTTGCCAAAGTTGTTGCCAGGAATGACAGTTCCATCGCTGTACATCTTCGCCAGCGTCTGAGCTGTCGCTTTATGATCTAGTCGTTCTGAGGAGTGGGTAGCATCGCCTTATTGCCAGCTTCAATCTGTGTTCCCGAGTGTGCTTTTGACCGTTTTCGCCAGGTTTCTAGGCTACTCTTAGTGTTGCGGCTGTTTAACCTTTTATTTTTCTTCCTCCCTTCCTCTTTCCTTCTGTCCCTTCCTCCCCCTTTTCCCTCTTTTCCCTTATTTGCCCCTCCTCCACTCTCTCTCTTTCTAGCTGCTTGCTTCCTGGAGACAAGCCTATGCATTCAGGGCTTAGTAAATTAAGCCGATTTACTGCTGATATTCCAGTAAGCGGGATCAGCTCAAAATTGGCATTTGTTTTGTGTCCCTCTCCTCAGGAAGGGATTTTGAGGCCATTAGTGACCCCAGAGGCGGTCAGCTTTATGCAAATAAATAATCTCGGAGAAAACAATCCTGAACACTTGCCTGGGCTGGAAGGGATAAACCATGGATGCACAGCAACTGCAGCAGGAGACAGACACAATGGCCGTGGACTCTTCCGCAACCAGTGCCAGGGTGACTGATACTGCCACAGTCCAGGCACTGCTGAGCCAGGTGTGCACCGAGGAGGGGTTGTTCAGACAGAGATGAACTGGCCTCTGGGAACTCACCAGAGCACAGGATTCTCCTCGGGGAGTGGAGGAATCGGCAGGCGCTGATTAACATGGGAAGTTGTTTTCTCAGGGTGCTGGCTCCGGAACCGAGGGCCCTGCTCAGGTCAAGCAAGGGATCTGCCACAGAGCTGTCGCCACGCTCAGTTTGCCTTTTTCTTATTGACTCACAGGAATTTTAAGAAATGTTCTGAGTAGAAGCCCTTTCTTTTTCTTTTTGAGACAGATGCTCAGGGTGTAGCGCAGGCTGAGCATGAACTCCGGTCCTCTTGCCCCAGCTTCCTGAGCTCTGGGATGCCCGGCATGCCCTACCATCTCTGGCTTAGATGTTCTAGACCACACACTGCCTCTCCAGCTTTGCCTCCTCCCACACTCCGAATGCCAGCTCATATTTTATTGTTTTTATTTATGGTGTGTGAGCCCCAGTAAAGTGCATTCTTTCAAAGCCTTTCTCATCTGCCTGCTCCACCACCCAAAGTCTGTTGGGGTTCCCAGCATCCTATGTCTACCATAACTCCAGCTCCTGGGAATCCGCTCTCCCCTTTTGGCCTCTGTTGACATCCGTACTCACAAGCGTGTGTGCACACACCTCCCCCCCTCCAATATGGACACAAATTTAAAATAAACAAAAAGATGTGCAATGTGCTGTGTTAAAGATGGCAGTGTCACTGGAATCTGGGTTTTTAAAATTAAGGTCTGTGAAGGCTGGCACAGGAAAAAGGCCTGAAGCTGGGTCTTGAGGATGGAGTGGTAGTCAGAACAATGGTCCCTCGAAGATGCCCAAGTCAAAATCCACAGAACCGAAATGATGCCAGGGCTGGTGCTCAGCTGACTTTAGGGCGATGACCCTGGGTCATCCAGCTGAGCCTAATACAGTCACAAAGCTCTTAGTGGAACAGAGAGGTTGCAGAGAAGAGCCAGGGACATGATCAGTCATGAGGAGGACTTGTCTGCTTATTGTTCGCTTTGGAGATGAATAAGGCCAGAAGGTAAGAATTCCTCTGGGAGATGGGCCCTCCAGGCACAGATTGTTCCCGGAGTCCTCAGAAGGCCCTACTGACACCCTGACCATAGCCCTTTGACACCTATGGGTGGGGAATGCCTGTTTTTGGTCTAATGGACACAGATGGTGAATGGAAAGGAGACACTCTTTTAGGTGACAAGAAGACATATGTGTGTGTGTGTTTGAGAGAGAGAGACAGACACAGAGAGAGAAACAGAGAGAGAGAGTGAGACAGGGAGAGACAGAGAAAATGAGACAGAGAGTGAGATAGGGAGAGAGACAGAGACAGAGAGAGAGACAGGGAGAGACAGTCAGAGAGAGACAGAGACAGAGAGAGACAGGGAGAGACAGTCAGAGAGAGACAGAGACAGAGAGAGACAGAGAGAGAGACAGAGACAGAGAGAGACAGATTTGGTGAGAATATTCATGCCAGGGGCCCTCAGAAGAGGTCCGGTCACTGCAGCAGTGACTAGGTCTTACTGGGAAGGTGTGTCCTGCAGATGTAGAAAACATGGTCAGCTGCTTTCCTTGAGGAGCTGGGAGGTGGTGATGGCCTCTTTCAGAACATTTTGGGGGCTCTTTTCCTGAGGTCAGCCCGGCAGATGCATCTTCTCTTCTGTGGTGTTGTGACCTAGCCTCAGCATTAGAGAGATATGCCTATGCCTGTCTCCCAAAGTCCCTCTGTCTCCCTGGAGGCTGTGAGAGGCAAGATCCCACAGTCCTCCTGAGCGACCACCTCTGACACGTAGGACATTTACACGTGGCTCTCTGGAGACACCACTTTCATGCTTCAACCTGCAAAGACCCTGCCAGTGTTCACCCACGAGTCAGTGTCCATTGCAGGCTTGGGTTCTCTTAGGTCCGAGAGGAAACCTGTGCTGTCAGCGAAAATGTGTCGGACTTCTGTGAAAACATTAGCAAGCATAGACTAGGCAGCCGCTCCTGAAGCACACGTGGCCTCAGGACAGTGGACAGGGGACAGCTGTCAGGCAGGCTAGACTGGTGTCCTGCAGTGTGCACAGTGACACCTGCTGCCAGGACCACATGCTGGGGCTGGTTTCCCTTAGCGCTCTCTACCTTTAGCTAAGATGCAGGCAGGCTGGCTGGACATTTGAGTTTTGTGCCTCTGACAACATTTGCAGGTGGGAAAATCTGCATCAATTCATAAGGGGCATATTTGGGAAAAGAAGGGAGTATAAATTCATATGGGGGTCTGTTGTGGGAATTTGTCGAGCGTCTCTGATTTCTGGACTCTGACTTCACCACAGAAAACACGTTAAAACACTCCCACACTACTCGAGTTGGAGTTTTGAAAAGTAGTTTTCATTTGTAATTCTTTGGCCCCAGGGAACTCCACTTGGCTCTTGACTTTTGGACAGTATTGATCAGTGAATTAACAACTGACAATCTATATCTCACAAATGCCCTTCAGGTGTACCAACAGGCTCATTAGGATAAATTAGAATTAGAAGACTGGAAAATTCTTACTTGAATTTGTATTTATTTGAAACTTAGCCGTGTACTTCTTGTATCCGGGGGGCAATTAAAAGTCCTTGTCCTGGTTCCAACATTTCCCTCTCTTTGAAAACCCAGATGAATGAGTCCGGCAAACCTGGCCAGAGGTGAGTGATTGGCAGTAGGCAGTAAAAGTCGGTTACCTCACTTAAGGCTCCTCGCCCTCACTTCCTATTCAGGCTAGGAACAGGCTCCGGCCCGGTTCCTGACACCACTGGACAAAGAATGTTTGCGGAGCCTTCCAGGGTGGCAACCCAACCCCAACGCGTGCGACGTCCCAGGTTTCCCGGACCCCAGGGCAGTTTCAGGTGGTCATCCTCCTTCCACTAGGGCCGGTGGAAGTTAGCTGTCGTTCACCACGCAGCTCTGGGACCGGCCTTTGCTCTGCAACCCCAATCCGGGCAGGTGACACCCAGGGCAGCCCCCCCCCCCCCCCCCCCCCGACACGTGCTTGAGACAGGGGCGCCCTGGAACCTTAGCCACACCGCAAGAATGAACTGTGCGCACTACCAGCCGTCTTGACCCTGGGAGGACGCCCCAGTCCCCCAACCCTTCCTTGGGGCAGCCCCCTCCCGCGCCGCCCCCGGGGTAAAGGGAGAAAAAGGGCTCAATGGGGCGCCAGGACTCGCAGAAGTGATTTCTCGGAAAGGCCAGCGCTTCAGAGAACGCGGACCTAGCGGTAAGCTCTGAATGGGCAGTGCCCGCGTCCCTGTCGCGCACCATTGGTTCATGAGGCCGTCGCTCCGCACGAATGGGACCCGCCCTCGCCCCCGCCCAGTCCTTAAAGGGGCGCGTGCGTCTATCCTGTAGCCCGCGGCCGGTCGCGGAGGCGCGGGCAGCGTGGGAATCAGCAGCAGGTAGGACGCGGTCGGGGAGGGCGCGCAGGCCGGGGCTGCCTCTCCCACTCGTTCCCAGACGAAGTGTACAGTACGTTAGCAGGTGCCTGTTCCCGAAGGCTGACGGCTTCTTAAAACAGCAATCACCACAACAGCCACCTTCTCCCCCAGCCTTTCCTCTTAAAATTTGCCTGATGGGCAACTTCACAATGAAGAGAAACAGTGACCCCCTGTAATGTAAGACCTGCCAATCTCCGCGCGGCAGGCAGCTCGGTTACCAAGAGTGAACTATCCAAAGCATGGGCTTGCCCAGGGGTCGACAGGCGTTGATTCTGACCAGTGGCTGTCTGATTGCCCAGTGGTGCAGGACTGACTGCGCCTTAGCCCAGCTGACCCTGGGAGGAAAGTTCTGTTCCGTGTGGGTTGCAGCTGCCAGGACTGGTTTGTTGTGAGCTTGGCCCCAGGCTGTAGGGTAGACAGTTCCTGGTGAGAAGGGTTCCATAGCCACAGCTGGGACGGGGTTCAGGGGGTAGAAACTAATAGAAACTAGCCATAAATGTTCTAGAATTTTAAAATTCTCTCCCATGGCTTTTTTAAAAAAATTGTTATTATTTGTTTCGAGACAGGGTTTCACTCTGTAGCCCAGGTTCGTTTGGGAAATCTGGAGATCCTCCTGCCGTATCTTCCTGAGAGTTATGGTTTCAGGCTGAACCACCAATGGCCCCACTTTTTTCTTTTAAAGTCAAAGTTAAGAGCAGTCACATGACAATTCTAGGTTGTTCTTTTAAGCTATGGCAAGGCTCCTTCATGAAGATCTGGGAGTAATTCAGTGGCTAGAGGAAGCTTGGGGCACGCGCGAGAGAAATGGCCGTGATGGATATTTCCGCTTCGTAGTAGCCAGAGTGGTGCCCAGGGCTGAAGGAAAGAGATGGCATGGGGTGAGCCCTGATACATATGACTGGTGGAGATGCTGACATCTGTGTGGGGTGAGCCTCTGCCTCAACTGCCGTGTGAGAAGCCTGGCCAGGACTTAGTGCTCTGACTTTGGGTTAGCTGTAGACAGGACTGGGCCAAGAGAGGGAATGCTCCCTTAACATCAAGAAGAGGAAGCTACGATCATGTGAGCCTGTTTGTAAGTTATTATTGTCCATAGTTATAAAGGGGTCAGGCTCTGCCTGCCTAGGACCTCAGAGGTGACTGTAGAGGAAATAGAAAGTGTTGTCTGTGTGCTGAGATTCAGATCCCAGCTGAAGCTTCTGTTTGTAGAATGAATAAAATCACTTCTGGGAGCTGGGAACAGTGCTGACGGTTTATGCCGTGCCCAGGGGACGGCTGTCCCTCCAAGTTTCTCCTCTTTTGAGCAAAGAGGAAGCTGGGTTAGAGGATTTTAACCTCCCAACTTTCACGGTCTGTGATTCACCTTTCCTTCCAGTGACTCCATTCTTTTCTCTGTCACCTTCTTCGGCAGGTGTCCTTCACAGTTCTGGGGTATTGGTCATCGGAGGAGCCCTGATGAAAAAGAGCCAGGCTTTTTTCTCTCTCTCTTTCTTTCTTTCTTTCTTTCTTTCTTCTGGAAAGAGGTCTAGCCCTGCCAGTGAATTCTCTTTAGATTTCAGGGCTCAGGTGCCAGGGCCTGTGGTTTACAAATCCATCTCCGGGGGGAAGTTGAGATGGCTTCTGATTGACATCTCCTTAGAGACCAGTTCCTCTGCTGTATCCTGAGCCCCCCACTCTGCTCCTACCCACATTTATCCTTGCAGACCTCATAAGATACTATCAAGTCAGGGGAGCCGCCTCTGTCTTCCTTAGAGCAAGCTGTGGGAGCTAGCACCCTACTTGCTTTTGGGGAGGTATCTGGTGGCTTTTATTTCTCTACTCAGGTATTCCTTTCTGGTCCGTCATTTGTAAACACAGTTGTTTTAGAATTCTGGGTTTCTTGACATATCCCCTCTTCCCCTGCTTTTCTGGTGAAGGTCCTCAGGCTGAGAATCAAATGGCTTCCCAAGGAGAAGAGCCCTTGCTGACTGAGGTCAGGATTTCCCAGCCAACGTGCAGTTTTTTCTTGAGATGTGGCTCAGGTGGCAAGAGCTCTTGCCTAGCACGCACAAACTCTGGGTTTAGTACCTGTAAAGTGGAGAATGGAGGCAGGAGGATCAGGAGTTCAACGCCATCTTCAGCTACCCAGGGAGTTGGAGATCGGCTTGGGATATGAGACCCTGTTTGAAAAATAAAAACAAAAACAGAGCCAGAGACCATCTTCACTTCAGCCCTCACCCACTTCTAAGCCCACAGGTGGCCACTGGGGCTGTTGGGTGGAAAAGCTAAGCCAGCCCTGAAGAGATCTCACCTCCCTCTTCTCAGGACGCTGCCTGCTTTCCTGCTCCCGCTGCCACCTACAGTGGCCCGGAGTTTCTGACCTGCGCAGCTCTTCCCAACACTCCTGACTGCCGTTTTGCTTTGTGGGCCATGCTGGCTCTGGACGTAATCATGTCCTTGGAGATATCGTGTCTCCTCACTGCTGATGACTTCTTTCCTGCCTGAAGAGGTCACATTTTAATTGGAAGGCTAGAAATGCTGTGTTCTAGTTTTTGGGGTGGGCATCTGTCCAACTGCCGTGGGGATTTCCAGGCTGTTCTAGTAAACACTGGCTGCAAGACTCAGGGCACAAATGCTCTCTTTCCCCAGTCGGCAGGGAATGTTTATCTGGCAGTGCTGGCAAGAATGTCCAAGGATGCCATCAGGTGTCTGGGGATGGTAGGGCCTGGAAACAGAGCCCCTGAGTTGGCTTTGTACCGTGCCTTGCTCTCGTCTAGGGTTGGTCATAAGAGTCCCCGAGGATCTGTGTTACTGGAGGAGTCCTCTAGGGCACAGGCCCTGATGCAGGTACTTTACGCTCATCACCCAGACTGACTCCCCAACAAGGTTAAATGGCTTTAAGGTCACCTAGCTGGAACATGACTTCAGCTCTGACTCATTCCCAGTGGGAATAAGACCCTATACTCTTCTACATTACTGTTACCACGCCAGCGAGGAAAGGACAACCTGTAAGAGGGGGTACCCTTGAGGGTACCCCCTTTCTCAGGAAGTGCCGGGGTTAAAGTCTGCCAGGGACAACAGCCTCTGGGTATCAGTGGTTAGGCTCGTTCTCAGAGCAGTGGGCAGCTTGTAGCAAAGTACAGCATCATCTAAGAGCGGCTGCTTCTTTGCAGGTGCCCTCAGTGTCTTTCTGACACAGGAGATCAGGGAGAGCTGGGACACACAGCCAGAGCCGTGGGTGGGGCACACCTTCGGACAGGCAGCTCTGGGTCCCTCGGGCTTTCAGTTTTCATTTGGGTTTAGGGTCATGGGGCGCCACTGTTTTCTCTTGGCACCGGCCCAGACTTCTCCCAAGCCAGCAGCTTTGTGTGGATCCCTGATCTTCCTGTCCGTTCTGGGGTTACCGTGACTCATGAAAGGCACATTTATTATAGTAAGAGATCTGTTTCTTTCCAAGGATGTGTGACCGGAATGGCGGGCGTCGGCTCCGGCAGTGGCTGATTGAGCAGATTGACAGCAGCCTGTACCCGGGGCTGATATGGGAAAGCGACGAGAAGACCATGTTCCGTATCCCTTGGAAGCATGCCGGCAAGCAGGATTACAATCAGGAAGTGGATGCTTCCATCTTCAAGGTAAAAGGCACCTGCATCCCCACGCGGGAGTTTCAGATTTCTCCCTGACTCTAGAGTGTCCTGACAACTAAACAATTGGCCCAGTTTTTAAAGGGAAACACTGAAGAGTGCTTGGCTCTAGCATGTTCCCCTGTGAAGCCAAGTGTGCTTTCCCCACCCATCCTGCACCCCCGTGCCTTGACGTACTGCCAGGCTCCGCTCGGTGTACTATGGAAGGCTTTGGTCTTTACTCTCTCAAAGTGAGACTCCTGCTTGGCATGACAGGGCCAGCGGAAAGGGCGACAGGCTTCCATCATTGCTTCTGTGTCAGGGTTTGAGGGGCAGGCGTCCTGAGCTTGCCCCTGCTGTTTCCCCTTCTGAGAGGAGTCAGTGCTGCCACTGAGAGCAGGTCAGACAGCTGGGGTGAGAGCCAGCTTGAATTAGTCTTTTCTTTTCCTCATCTCACCCTGTGTGGCGGGGGATATTCCTGTTGACATTCTGCAGTGGCGCTGGGAGGAGATGTGGCTTCTCCAGGTCTCATAGCCCTTGTGTAATATAGCCAGCGTCTGGGGTCAGATGGTTCAAGGTCTTAACCCTTTATTGTACTGAGAAGTAGGGTGGTTTCTCCCTAAGGATCAGCCCAGCCCAGCTCTGCATGCAGGCTGGGTCAGGACCCCCTGTGGGTTGTCGCAGTCAAAGCGGGTGCTTCTAAGGTCCTAGGCATTGCATTTCTCTCTGGGAGTTTCAGGGCTACAGGTCGTGGTCAACCCAGACTTCTACTTTGTGAACAGCTGCAGCCTTGGTGGCCTGACCCAGAGCCCAGGCTGGAAACCACTGCCTTTGGTTCTGTGTGTTCAGGGGAGCTGGGGGTGGGGAGAAAGGCAAGTTGAACTGCTGAGGACCAGAACTGACTCAAGACTGGGATCTTGGGGGGCGGGGGGGGGAAGCCCAGCCTGCAGAGCACTGCGACTGCCCAAACTGCCTTGAATGCTGCACTCTGAGGCACAGTCTCCCTTTTCCAATGAGACCCCAAACTGAGCTGGTGACGACGAGCATTGACACTTAACCTGAGGTGCAGGGTCTTGGCAGGACGACCATCATGATTCTTCCACAGAAAAGGCAGAGTGCTGGACCAGGGGTCTCATTTGTTGCAGGAGACAGTAAGTCTCTCTTCAGCCAGTTCCCTGTTTCAGCAAACCAGGAGTCCTGAAATAAAGCCCCAGATTTATGCATCTTATGCAACGCTCTTCATGGCCAACAAGCCGTTTCAACAGCATTGAGAAGAACACGCAAGATTCCCAGTGTTTCCGTTGGTTACGCAGCCGCTCTGTGTGGCAATCTGAAATGAGACAACAATCTCGGCAGGAATGGCCGGAGACAAACGGGTGCCCACCAGATGGGGAGGCGAGTGCGTGTGGAGAGGGGGACAGTCCAGGAGACACAGAGCAAAGAGAGGCTTTTCTGAGCTGTTCTGTGTGGGGTGGAGTGTCTCTGCATCATCAGCCAAACTCCTTGACGGTTGAAGGGACCCTGTGTTGAGACTTTGGGCAGATAGAGCCATGTTAGGGATTTTTTGGTGAAGTAGGAAACCTGCTATTCTCAGATAATTAAAACCTTTAAAAAATGTGGCTGTGAAGGAAAAGGTTTATGCTTTGCTTTTTTGTGGGGAGGAAAAGGGATTATCCCAGAGAGTCCAGTGCTGTCTGCAGGCAGTGTCTTGGGGCCTGCTTCCTGTGTAGACCACAGATGGAGATTGAAAAGACTCTGAGCTTACATCAATCAGGCAACAGCTGAGATTCCCTGGGCCCTACTGGTCATAGGTCTAGCAACCACACCACCCAATCAATACACAGAGGGCCTTGAAGGAAGAAACAGGTGCTAATTTTTTATTTTGTTTCGAGTCTGGGACTTACATAGTTCAGGCCGACCTCAAGCTTGCTATGTAGCTGAGGATGATCTTGAACTCTGGATCCTCCTGCCTCTACTTCCTGAATGCTCGGATTGCTTGTGTGGTTTATGTAGCACTGAGGATTGAACCCAAGACTTTACGCACTCATGACAAACACTCTTATCAGCTGAGGTACATTCCCGGTGTTGCATTTTAAATGTCAGCTGAGGAAAAACTCCAAGCAGTGAGTCCCAGCATGACCTACTCTGGAGCTTCGGCCCTGGGTGACCCCGAGAGACCAGGCAGCCAAGACAGTCCTGTAGAGCTGGTCTTTGGCCAGATGTGGCAAGGCTCAGGGCAGGCCCTTGCTATTAGGATGCTTCCTGACTATGGAGTCTGGTTTGATGGTAGCAGCCTCCAGGCCTTCCTCGCAGAGGAAGCGTGAGCCCCGAATGAAGGAATGAACAGGGCGGCGCTGTTGAGGCAGGACAGTTCCATCATGGACCCACTGACTACAGCGCTGCTGTGGCCTCTGTGCCTCCTCAGGCACTGTTGGAGCATGGGCTCACTCAGTGGTTTAGAGAGGGGTCTTTCCTTCTGTGGCAGATGTCCTGGATGGCTATCTCCAGGGGGAGGTACTGCTGGAAAATGCTTTAGACAGTGTGTTGAGTGGTCCTCACTGTGGGGTCCTCACTCAGCGGCAAAGAGGCAGAACCTTCCAGTAATCACAAACAACCCTGATATCACTGTTACAGTCTGCCAGTTTTTCTTTTCTGCCTTTGAATTCACAACAGTCCACAAGCTAGTAAGTGGCCTGCAATGCAGTTTACAATAAAGGCCAGGGTTGGAAACCATCTACTTAAGAAATATTTCTAAAAGTGGGTTACAACTATGTCAGAGAGGAAGTGGCCACTCAGGCTCAGCGGTAGGAATGTTCTTCCAGCTTCTTGCCGAGCAGAGATACAGAATCTGGCATCAACAGTTCAGAGAGCGCTGGCCTTGAACCTTAGAGTTCCCTGGAGTCATGAATGTGCATGTGCCCTGGTGTGTGTGCCTTTGGAAGCCAGGGGTCCTGGGTTGGTGTCTTTGTCTATCACCTTCCACCTCAGATCTTTAGACAAAGTCTCTCACTGAACCTGGAGCTTACGGATTAGGCTAGCTTGGCTGCTGGTGAGCCCTAGGGATCCTTCTGTTATCGTGTGCTGGGATCACAGACACACATACCCAGCTTTTTCTGTGGGCATTGGGGATTTGAACATGTTTGCATGGCAAGCATTGTATTGACTGAGGCCCTGCTTTGAATTTTTGGTCTTTGCTTACATCATAAGCTTTAGACAGGTCAGGAAAAGTAGCTGTTAAGAAACCACAGAAGAAAAACAGAGACATTTAACAGGGAGAGCAATCCATCGCGTTTTAAATGGCCAGGATCAGGCAAAAAATGCAAAACAAAATTTCTATTAAAAGGAAAGAATGGTGGTCACATTCAAACTGTTTCACACGGTTCCCTTTTCATGCTCAGGGCTTTATCTGAAAAAGCAGAAAGTCTTTGTTTTGAGCATACTGGTGAAGCCATGCGCACCTTTCTCTTCAAGCGTCATGACCTCAAGCCAGAGAAGGAGTTTGCCAAAGATGTATCCCAGGGTGTGGGGAGCTGGGGACGTGGGTTCAAATTCTGGCTTTGCAGAGTGTTGCTCTGGTCTCTTCGGATACAGTAGACAAAGTGGTCTCCCTGAAGTCCCATGGAGTGCTGACCTTGAACAAGAGTTGATGGCCAAGAAAGTCTCTGGGGAGGAGGGGGTTTGCAGTCCTGGCTTCATGCTGAACTCTGTGGTTTGTGTCCCTCTGTGTTGACTGTGTTTCTCTCTCTTTCTTCAGGCCTGGGCAGTTTTTAAAGGGAAGTTTAAAGAGGGGGACAAAGCTGAGCCAGCCACGTGGAAGACGAGGTTACGCTGTGCTTTGAACAAGAGCCCAGATTTTGAGGAAGTGACCGATCGATCCCAGCTGGACATTTCCGAGCCATATAAAGTTTACCGAATTGTCCCGGAGGAAGAGCAAAAATGTAACTATCCGCTGGGGCCAGGAAGCCTTCCAGGACCCTCCCTCACCTTCCCTCTTCTGCCCCATTAGCCTTTGGTCTCCACAGAGCAGGTGTGCCACCCACAGGGTTTGGGTGCCTGCTTTAGCTAAACAAAGTTGTTCTCTCTTTTGTAAGCAGACCCAGAGAGCTGGTCTGCTGATCTCACACGCCATGTGCTGTCAAGTGGCAGCTTCCTGCTGAGGGAGTGGCCATGTGGAGGCAGGGAAGGGTAGCCTGGGTCAAGGCTCAGAGCACTCTGGGTCATAGTCTGAGCGGGAACCCAGCAGAGCCCCCGAGCTCGGTGTACCCTCCCCCTAATAGTCTGCCGTAGCAGAGCATGGGATGCAGAATTCCTTTTTGCTGTCTAGAAGTTTACAGAGGAGGCCGGGGAAGGTCTATCTAGAGGGCGAGGAAAGTGTGGGCTAAAGTTGAGTGAAGAGTTCTCCAGTTAGACAAGACAGCAGCAGTGGCCTCACTGATGGTCTCAGCGTGTGACTGCTGTCGGGGATCACATCATTCCTGAGGTCCCTTCCAGCAGTAAAATCCTTAAAGCACTTGTAATGGGACGAAAGCAGGGGCAGCGGAAACCTGCCACACGGTGTGTGCCTGTGCTCTGGTGAGACATCACCAATCAATCAGAGTGTGTCGACCTCAGTGCTAACCTCAGAATCCTTTTAAACCCGTGTTCTGTGCAGAATCAGAGCTGTTTAATCTCCACCGTGAGTCTGTGAGGGTCTTTGAAAGCTTTGGTTTTCACAGCCACTCCACACAGGCGTAAAGAATCTTGTGGAGTTGTGACTTCACTTCTTTGGAAACTTACAGGCAGACTGCTAATAGCCGAAGCCTTGCAACAGTTCTTGGGGCTGGACATAAATTCTGGGTTTGTCCTCATGCTTCGGTGGGGGTATTGAACATCAGGCATACAATTTTTTAAGAAGTGAAAACCAAGACTCAAACATATAGACAGAGAGCTGGTATCGGAGCTGTCTGGCACGCCCCAGGGAGCTGACCTGGTGACAAAGCCTGTTGGAGAATATGAAATACTAGATGTGACATGTCTAGTCTGTTAGGGGTAGGAAGAGTGTTGGTTTGTATGTATGATCCCAGGACTCAGGAGGCCAAGGTAGGAGGATTGCATGAAAGCCAGCCTGGCCTGCAGAGTGAGACTCTGTCTCAAAAGCAAAACAAAAAAAATCCCCCAAAGAGGAAGCCGACCCAACTGATGCTTGACGGGTGCAGGTGGTGGCACCGTGGTTGGCAGTGTTGTGTGACCTGGTCATCTGTAGCTTAGTCACCTGCAGATGGACACCTGGTTGCATTGACTCAGAGTCCTAATAGGTGACCGTGGCAAGGCTTATTCAGCAACCTTCCTTGGAAGAGCCTTATGGCTCCCAGGGCCTGGTTCATTCTGCGCAGCCTCTGGAAGGTCCAACAGCCTTAATTACTCCCGTCTCTAGACTGTGTGTCTTCAAAACGATTCAAAGCAATAGGGAAGTTTCTCTCAGCGCCCTGCTCCCCCAGGCTCAGCCGGGCTTGACCTGGTAGATGGCCCTGACTTGTTTATAGCACGGGTGGAGCCCCATCACCTGCAGTGTTGGGGGTGAAGGCGCAGCAGGCTTCTGAGCAGAGGAACACAGCATTTGCGTAGCATTTGTCCTGGTACACTGTACTATGAACCTGAGTGATTTGCCAGCCTCTCTGGGGGGAGTGGGGGAGGGGGATCTTCTTGCTTTCTTCTTGCGCCAGCAGTGGCTTCTGAGTGAGCCCCTACATTGGGTGAAGTGGTAGGGAGATTGCACAGGTCCCTGGGATTTGGGAGCCTGGTGGGGCTTTGTTGATCATGCCGTATCTCATGGATGCTAATCTTCTAAGGCAAATTCTGATCAGGGAAGAGGAGCAAAGTGGGCGAGAAGCCACCTGGGCTCAGATGCCAGCAGATAAAGCTGTGGGCCCCCTGGAGGCAGGTGGGGGCTGTGAAACAGGGCACAGGTGTGACTTTGCCATGTGGCAGAGGTGTGCAGACACACACATGTATATTTGGAGGGTACAAGGAGATTTTCTGCTACCTGGCTCCCCATCTGCCAGCATATTCTTCAGTAAATCACTGGATGTTTTCAAATACCCGGACTAGCAAACTTATCTTCAATATGTAGGCAGTGAACGTCTGGTATAAAATGTACCAGGCAAGGCTCAGATAGGAGGAAGAAGCCAGAGTCTAAGCCTTGTCCTTTAAAAGCCTTGTGTTTACAACCCCCAGCACCCACTTCTCTCTTTCGACCTAGCTGATCAGATGACCAGGCCATGAGAAGGCACAGTTGAGTCTTTCCCAAACCTTCTAGCAGCTGCTGGTCAAAGCCAGGGAGGACGCTTACCACCTCTGTTTCCTTAACTCAGCATTTTATAAAAGGTTGCAGTGCTTGGCCGCCCTGGGTCATGGTGTCCATCCCCTTTCCCATAGGCAAGCTGGGCGTGGTGCCTGCAGGCTGCATGAACGATGTCACGGAGATGGAGTGTGGTCGCTCTGAAATCGATGAGCTAATCAAGGAGGTGAGTGCGGCTTCCCAAACACCTTCCAGGGAGGGACAGACATCACTTTTACCCCTCACAGGCATTGAGCGCCTCAGGCCCTCCAGGAAAGTGACAATTCTAGCTGAGGAGGCAGAGTGAAGGACTCCTTGGCCACCTCCCTAGGCCAGCCTCCCTGTCCTGGTCAGGTCCTGTATGTCCTGTCTTCTCCTGTGAGCCTCCGGCAAGGCTTTCTTAAGCTCCAAGTTTACTTAAACATGTTGAATAGCAGATTTGAAACGTCACCATGTGGTCTTAGCCTTGTTTCTCAGCCTGGCTTCCAGGATAAAACATGACCTTTTCCATTACATTCCATAGGGTCATCCTATTGGCCCTCTTGGCAACTATATGGCTTCCTTTTTAACCTACAAAGTTTTTTCCTGAATGGCCACTGTAATTGGATGGCTGAGACCCTTTGGATCCACTAATTGGACTGGGGACTAGCTAGTGACCCAGCGCTCACCTGTGGTGCATGAAGCCTAAGGTCTAGTTCCTAACAGCACATGCGAAACCAAGATCTTAAAATAATCCACTGATAATGCATGCATGGTTGGTAGCCTGTAATTGAAGGTGCAATAGGGTCTCTTTAAGTTAAACAGATGGCCTTTTGTGTGTCTCTTTTTAGCATCTCTATTGTATTTTAAATGTCTGCACAAGGTGGGCTTTCATAGCTAACGAACCCTATTCAGCTCATGTAAAGGAAGAGGAGGGCATTTTAGATGACAGATGGCCCAGACCTGTCATCTCAGCTACTCAGGTGGCTGAGGCCGGAGGATGGCAAGTTTTAAAGCCTGTCTGAGCTGCAGAATGACTTCAAGGTGGGAAACTCCCATGAGACCCTGTCTTGAAACCAAAAGGGAAAAGATACTGGGGATGTAGCTCAGTGGTAGAGTGCTTGCCTCGCGTGCACAAAGTCCTGCCTTCCATCCCCAGCACCATAATGTCACTGAAACAAAACCAAGATTGTTGTCAGCAATGGCTCATCAGCTGTGCACCCTGAAGCTTGGCCGTGGGATAGTACAGACAGCCAACAACACCTGCCTCGTGTGGCCCAGCTTTTTGGCAAATGGCAGTTGTGACGTTCTGGGTGGTCTTGGTCCTGCGTCCTGTTTTCAGTATCTTTTTTTTTTTTTTTTTGGCTAACTCACTGAAGCAATTAGATGAATATGATGGCACACTAGGGTCACAAGCGAAGGAGGTTTAGGACCTCTTGTAATTGGATGTGACTCTCTGAGTGAGGGTCTCACTGCACAGTAGGATTCATTCAGCGTCACTGTACCAGTTGCCCTAAAGCTGGTCCATGTCTCCTGGCATCAAAAGATCAGTGAGCTTTTTCATAGCCTTGACAAGCTTGGTTAAACTGTCAGCTGCTGGGCTTGTAGTCTAGGGTCTTATGAATTGCAAAGTGAAGGTCAGGTTCTGTCTCATGAGATAAAGGTGACAGATTTTGTGGCTTTCATTGTGTATCTGATATTGGGTTTTACAAGCATGGACTTTAGGGAGGGCTGTGCTGGAGACCCGTGACTCAACGGTTATTTTCTGTCACCTGGTCCTGTAGCCTTCTGTGGATGAGTACATGGGTCTAACCAAAAGGAGCCCATCCCCACCAGAGGCCGGCAGGAGCCAGGTCCTTCCTGACTGGTGGGTCCAGCAGCCCAGTGCAGGTGAGTGTGTATGGCTGGCACTGCCAGCCATTAGGTACTTCGTGTTATGGTTGGGGGTACTTGTCACTGTTAGGCCCTATGTCCTGTGGAAGGTTACTAAGTCTAGATAGGTGAAAAAATCACAGCCATGAGCTGAGTTAGCCAGGTGCAAGCTCCCAGGAAGGCACAAGTATCTTGGTCTATAATAGGTGGTTATGCATGGTCACTCTCCTCCCATACCCCCAGGAAGTTGAGAGGAGGAGTCTGCCAACATCCCCAAGACTCAAGGGAGGCCCCAGCTCTCAGCCACCCTGCTTCTCCTTCCCAGCTCACATAGGTTCACTGTTCCATTCAGATGATCAGGACACTCCTAGACCCTGAGAGACCCAGGACTTCTGGAGAGAAGGGAGCCCAGTCAGGGCAATAGCTTGGAACCACAATGGGCAGTTACATGTCTTGGCGGTGCCAGGGGAATTAGAAAGTTAAATAAGGGCTTCACCCTTTTGTTAGCATCTGGTGGGTACATTCAGGCTATAGATGTTTAGAGGGCCATTCACCGGCCCTCTATAATATAAATTGCTATAGTGTGTGAGCAATTTTTTTGGCTCACAGGCACGTTGGTTTCCTCCTTTACCTCTTTCCTGCTAAGACAGGAGCTGCCAGGATGTCTTAGCTGGCCCTGGAGGCCTATGAGGTTTCCAGGCCGTGAGTATTAGTGTCTTGCAAGGGGCCCAGTGTTCAGAGATGTCTTTGGGAAAGCTGCCTGGGACACCAGGCTCCCCTGTGAGATAAGCCCTGTTGTTGTATACAGTCCAGTGACATTTTGGTAGGAAGGGAGCATGGTCCTGTGGATTTCTGGCACAAGGACAGGATCCCAGAGCACCGAGGAAACACTTTGCCCTGGTGGGTTTCTGTGTTTGTGAGCTCGAGAGCTCACATAGAGTGGGATCTGCCCATCAGCATCAACACCAGCTTTATTAGTGTCCCATCCATACTCCAGGGACATTTGAGTCACTCCCTGCTCACAGAACCAGTCCAGGTGGGATTATACTTTCTATTCTCTGCCTACAGGCCTGCCACTGGTGACCGGGTATGCTGCCTATGACACACATCATTCAGGTACTAGGGTGTTTTGGGTGTGTGGGCATGGCACAGGCTCTGTTTGAAAACAGTCTCATGACCTGGGTGGGGTCATGAGGTTCTATGGACAAGTGTGGCCTGGGGGTAGGCTTTGAGGACTGTTTTTTCCTCTTCATTCTATGTGGTTTTGGGAGCAGACAAGTGGCCCAGATTTGCTGAACATCTTCCTGAGGTAGCCACAGTTGGTCCAGAGGGTCTTCAGAAGCAGCAGTGCAGAAGATAATGTAGCCTGCTTTGCAGATGATACTGATGGTGATGCAGATGATACTGATGATGATGCAAATGATACTGATGGTTATGATGATGCAGTGATGCTGATGTTGATAATGACGCAGTGATGCTGATGGTGATGATGATGCAGATGATACTGAAGGTGATGATGATGCAGATGATACTGAAGGTGATGATGATGCAGTGCTGCTGATGCTGCTGCAGTGATGCTGATGATGATGCAGTGATGCTGATGGTGATGATGCAGATGATATGGTGATGATGATGCAGTGATGTAGATGATACTGATGGTGATGATGATGCAGTGATACTGATGGTGATGATGATGGTGACGATGCAGTGATGCTGAAGGTGATGATGCTGGTGCAGATGCTAATGGTGATGTAGATTGTATCTTTGAATTCTTTACCTCTCTCCTTGTGTCTTCTAACTGTTTTGTTGTCTTTGGGTCAGTGTCACTTTATTATGTGGGTCTGATGTCTCTCTGACCCTAATAAAGTGCTTTGCTCTGTGTTTATTTAGCACAGTGTGTGAAAATACTGGGAAATTATTATTTTTTTAACAGAGATCTTGAGCAGAGTTTTATAAGGGAAGAAGTTACTTTGCTTACCCCAGCTGATCCAGAATAGTTGCTATGTTATTAATTTTTGTTTTTTTTTTCTTTTTGGGTTTTTGAAACAAGGTTTTGCTGTAGCTGTTGAGCCTGTCCTAGAACTAGCTCTTGTAGACCAGGCTGGCCTCAAACTCACAGATATTCACCTGCCTCTGACTTCTGAGTTCTGGGATTAAAGGCATGTGCCACCACTGCCCAGCTGATATGTTATTAATTTTTATCCTCATGTTGCTTCTAACACTTATGGGATATTTGTTTTGTTTAGGGTTGGTTTTAATCTATGGGCTGCTTTCAGCAAATGACTACCATAGTATGCACACATGCATGCATACATGTACACACACACACACACTTACTCACACTATTCTGGTATGGACATGGGAAAGTTCATAATTTAAGATTAAAACTACTATTTAGCTTGGGTTTTAAAAGCTAATTGCATGGGAAATCCAAGGCATAGTAAGATTGGTTACATTGTTTTCTTAAAGGCAGGTTAAATGGGCAGAGAACACAGTAGGGAGACAGATGGCGACAAAACTTTCAATGGTCTCAAAGGCAAATTATTAACCTGGTTTCAGGGCCAGGCTAACTGTAAAAGTTCAGTTTCTTAAGACAAGAGGTATTTCCAGAGAAAAGCTGTCCCCACAGAGGTTGTTTCTGATGGTAACATGGTGCTAATGCTGCTGAGACTGGTGGTACTGGTGCCGATGATGTCGTTGGTGATGTTGCTGATGATGCTGTTGGGTATGGTACTGATGGTGATGCTGATGGTGCTGATGGTGATAGTGACGGTGATGTTGATGGTGATGGTGGTGGTGATAGTGACGGTGATGATGGTGATGGTGGTGGTGCTGGTGCTGATGGTGATGGTGGTGGTGATAGTGACGGTGATGATTGTGATGGTGGTGGTGATAATGGTCCTGATGGTACTGATGGTGGTGGTGCTGGAGGTAATAGTTCTGATAATGGTGATAATAGCCATGCTGATGATTCTGATAGTGATGGTGCTGATGGTGGTGGGTGGTATTTACGGTACGATTTTGGGTGCCAGGGTTAAGGCTGACACTCTTGTGGGCCCTTTTCTACCCATGACTCCAACTTCCTCTAGGTTATGGAGATAGGTTATTTCCCATTTCATAGGTCCTGGGTGATGAGTCTGATAGGCCCCAGAGCAGGGATCTGTCCTGGTATCCCATCTTCACTGCCGCCTGTAGTGGGGCTGGTGGCATCACTATACATTCCCAGGAGCCACGGTGTTGTCTGGTTTCATGGCAGACTCAGAGGAGCTCAGGCAGAAGCATGCCCTGGGGGCCATGATGAGGGCAGAGGTGGGTGCTCAGCAAGTAAGAAAAATACAAAGGAAATGATGCTTTACCTAGTGCTAGCCTGCGTGTTGGGGTCCTTCTAGACCTGGCTGTAGATAAGAGACCCTAGCTCCTTCAAGTTTCAGAAGGCATTTGCCTCCTAGCCTGTTCTCAAGCCCCCTTCATCCCCCACAGGAGGCCTGGGTTAATGGGCTCAGCCTTTGACCTTGTCAGTCTTGGGCTGTGGCCCTGGGAATCTGCTGACCAATGCATTCTGGGGGGCACGTTGCCTGGCCCAGACCTGTGACCAACTGAGTGAGCAGTAAAGTTAGGCTGTGAGGAGGAAGTGTCCTTGAGCCTTGTAGAGCTGTCTCAGCAGATGTGAGGAAAGCAAGGAGTCCCCACCACTGCTTGGAGCTCCTCTTCCAGAACCCAGGTCACACACCCTGCCTCTGTAGATAAGCCACAGCCAGGGCTCCTGGTTTTCTGACTACAGAGGTGACAGAGAGGGAGATGGGTGGCGAAGAATGGTAAGGAATGAGGGAGAATGTTACACTGTGGAGAGCCATGGCCTTGAGGGCTGCCCCATGGTAATTGCCTCTCTGTGGGTAACCAGTGTTCTATGGACTTCCTATTTATCAGAAAAATTCAGAGGTCCGGATTTTAAAACTTAACTGTTTTTCTGAGACAGTCTCAGTGTGTAGCCTGGGATGGTTATAAACTCACAACCCTCTTGCCTCAGGCTCTGGAGTGCTAGGGTGTGAGCCGCCGCTCTTTATTTGCCATCCGCCCCCGAATATCTCAGTGCCATCCTGCTGCCAACTCTCTTGAGGCTGCCAGCTTGTTTCCCAGTCTGTGTATAGTCAATGAGCGGATTAAACAGCGAGGATTTTTTGGCATGTCTTAGCGTTTCAGAATGAGCCAGAGCCAGCCTGCTGTGGAGAGCAAGACCAGGCTCCCCCACAGAACAGCTAGGCTGGCAGGGACTGCACTTTCGCCTCTTCAGCCTCCCTTCCTCATCTACAAAACGGTTGCAAGTGACCAGTAACACACAGCAGGGGTCCAGTGTGTGGATGGGCCCAAAGCCCCTGACTCAGCACCCCTCCGGATCTCCGCAGACCAGGGTTTGTGGTGCACAGTCTCAGAGGGCTTATTTGTAGGCCATATATTGTCCTGTTCCCCCAGCTCATGTGGTCACACAAAAGCCCCCACAAAGCTGGTGCTGTTGCCTTCTCTACCTTGTTGATGAAAAGCAGACAGAGGGGTGAAACCGCTTGCCTCAAGTCGCACAGTTGTGAGGAAGCGATGCTGGAATCCCATGCTGAAGGTGATGCTGATGGTGGAGATGATGGTGATGCTGATGGTGATAGTGCCGATCCTGATTTTAGATATTAGTGGTGGGCCTGGGATCACATGTGGGGCGAGCTGCTAGCGTCCTCGGTGGATGCATTTAAAGTAGGCTTAGACTGTGTCCGGATTCTTAGAATCTCAGTGGTGGGGTGAAGACTTGCATCATAGCATGGAGAACGCTGATCACCTGCTTCTCCTCTGGGTCTGCACTTGTCACTTGTGAGGTGTGGCAGCTTGGCACCTATGCTCCGTCCACCTGTCCTTTCTCCAAGCTCAGGATGCTATAGCATGGGTTTGCTGAGCCAGTCCTGCTGGCGCATCTCTGAGACATTTTGCTGTTCCTGGGTGTGTTGAGGGGTTCTGGTTCCGAAATTCCTCTGAGATGACAGGGTGAAGTTCACAATGTGGGCTTAACATGAGCACAGGGTATGTAGTGGGCACAGGGCACAGTGTGGGAACAGGGCATCATGTGGGCACAGGGCACAGTGTGGGCACAAGGCACAATATGGGCACAGGGCACAGTATAAGAGGCAGATGCAATGCTGAGTCTCCATTCACTCAGAATGAAGTCCTCAGTTGTCCCAGGGTGCAGAGGGAATGTGTCAGTTTGTTGATGATGCAGACACAGAGGTTCCTCACCTGGCTGGTGGGGAGTGCAGGGAGCAAAGAGTAGGTTCACTGGTACTATCACTGAATTGCTGACCAGGTCGATTTGGCCCTCAGTTTCCCCAAATGTGAGCTTGATGACCTGAACCCAAACAGCTTGCTTTCCTCAGGTGACTCTAGAACACGATGTCGCAGCAGCAGGGGATGACAGAGTCTGTGGACAGCGGTGGGCGCTCTAGCAGATAGACCCTAGGGAAGGGTCTGAGTGTTCCAGATGCACAGCAGTGTTGGCCCCAGCGGCGTGTGTTACTCACACAGGCCCTCCCAGCGGTGCTGCTGGTGACCACACAGCTCCAGGACACTATAGGTTTGGGGAGCTGTCAGTTTCTGTGGCTCCAGAGGGAAGCCTGGGCTTCTGAGAAGCCGAGGACACCTCAGGCTGCTGTTGGTGGAAAGAAAACTCTGTTTAGAGCAGCTACAGAGCATCTCCAGCCCTTAGCTCTGGGCTCTTCTCTTTATTCCTACAGTAACTCAGGGTTTGCCTAACTCCCAGCATTGGAGCCCCGCCTCCACGCTGGCTGTCATTCAGGGCCTGCTGGGCCCTCTGCAGTGTATGTTTCTTGTCTCTTCACTCTTAAGTTTATCTGGAATGCTGCTGCTCTTGCCTGTAAGAGGACACCAGCAACACCTCTTATACAGGAAGCCAGAGGCTGAAGCCAACCAAAGCCAACGAAAGCAAAATACAGTGCTGATAAATTTCCAGCCTCATGGCTCAAGTTAGATCGTTGGGATTATTATGGTCTGTTGGTGCCAAACTGAAGTTCTTCTCTTTCTTTTAAATTCTGTTTATTGATTAGTTTGCACTTGTGGTGCTGAGGGTGTAGCCCAGGACCTTGCATGTGTGAGGCAGTCGTCCCTGCTCTGAATGGCACTCTAGTTCTTGAGGTGACAGAGTGAAGGGATGGTGGAAGTGTAGCCTGTCTGTCACAGTTGCCCCCTGGGTAGCTCCCAGACAGAGCACTTCCCGGAGGACAGGCTGTGTGCAGGATTTTGCAGAGGTTTCCACCTGAATCCAGGAAATCCCAGGTCACCGTGTGTTGGGAAGATGGTATTGTGATGGTCACACCTTCATAGGTGGTGTGCCTTCCCATCTTGAATAAAGGCCACCGAGTCCAGGGTGACAAGGGAAGCAGAGCCACAGGGCACTTCATGGGACATTACACAGGCAATGCCTAAATGGCCTGAACTTGGCACAGTTCCCAGGTCTTGCTAGATCGTGTGTATAAGTTCACATGTGTGTGTTCCTGTGTGTGCAGATGCATGTGAATATGAATGTGTTTGCATGAATGCGTGTTCATGTGTGTGTGCATGAATGCATGTTTGTGTGTGTGTGCATGTTGCATGAATGCATGTTTGTGTGTGTGTACATGAATGCAGGTTCGTGTGTGTGTGTGCATGAATGCAGGTTCGTGTGTGTGTGTGTGCATGAATGCAGGTTCGTGTGTGTGTGCATGAATGCATGTTCGTGTGTGTGTGCATGAATGCAGATTCATGTGTGTGTGTGCATGAATGCATGTTCGTGTGTGTGTGTGCATGAATGCATGTTTGTGTGTGTGTGTGATGTGTGTAGGCCAGAGGCCAGTCTTAGGTATCATTTCTTGGATACCGTCCATCTTATTTTTTGAGACAGGGACTCCCACACTGGCTTGGATCTTACCAAGTAGGAGAGACTGGCTGGCCAGTCAGCCTTAGGATTGGCCTTTCTCTGTCACTCAGGTGCTGGGATCACAAGCAAACACCACTTGGAAGGGGAAAAGAGACTCTGGGCCTTTGGAAAGGAGGGCCTGGGGCTCCCCCTCTTCCCAGGCCCCTGACTGCCCTGTGTTCTCATCCCCCAACAGCCTTCTCCCAGATGCTGATCAGCTTCTACTATGGGGGCAAGCACGTGGGCCAGGCTACTACCACCTGCCCCGAGGGCTGCCGCCTATCCCTGAGCCAGCCGGGCCTTCCCAAGATGTATGGGCCGGATGGCCTGGAGCTGGTGTGCTTCCCGACAGCTGACATCATCCCCAGTGAGCGGCAGAGGCAGGTGACCCGGAAGTTGTTTGGGCACCTGGAGCGTGGTGTGCTCCTGCACAGCAACCGCAAGGGTGTGTTTGTGAAGCGCCTGTGCCAGGGCCGTGTGTTCTGCAGCGGCAACGCGGTGGTGTCCAAGGGCAGGCCCAACAAGCTGGAGCGGGATGAGGTGGTGCAGGTCTTTGACACCAACCAGTTCTTCAGAGGTCAGTACTGAGTCATCTGGCTGCCCTTGCCTTAGAGTTCACACCCACCTCCGACCCTGTGCCTCCTGCATCACGGACTGAGTTCACTCCTCAGGGGTTGAGGGCTTTGGCGATGGTATAGCTGGGGAACCCTTTGAAGCCTGACCTGCACAGTCTCCCTGAGCAGCCCGGGGGTCCTTGCCTCAGTTTCCCTTGGGTAGACAGGATATTAGAGCTGGAGCCTTTCCTTTCCAGAGTGTGGAGCTAATGAAGCTCGTGGTTGTTCCCTAGCCTGGGAGCTGCTTAGATACGCCGAGTCCAGGGCCTCAGCCAAGCCCTTGGCAGGGTCCTTGGGGAGGTGGCGTGATTGTGTGTCCAGTCCTCGGCTTGTGGGCTGCATGTGGTTCCTTTCAAGCGCTGCAGCCCACCCCGGAGCCTGACTGACTACAGCTCAGAGGCTCACTGGTTTCTGTGTTTTTCCAGAACTGCAGCAGTTCTACGCCTCGCAGAGTCGCCTTCCTGACAGCAGGGTGGTGCTGTGCTTCGGGGAGGAGTTTCCGGACACAGCGCCCTTGCGCTCCAAGCTCATCCTGGTGCAGGTGAGAGTTAGCGGCTTCGGTCTCGTGCCCAGGTCGCCTCACCCTCATTTATATGGGACCAACTTTATCCCAGGGTGAATAGAGACAGCAAGGACTGAATATTTCACCTGTGTGACTGGGGCAGAGGTGGGCAAACCAGGCTGCAAAGAGTTCCCGCCACCTCTGTGTTCTGTCTTCCCGGGTTGGGGCTCTTTTCATCTGTGTTTTCCTTCTTCTCCTTTCCTCCCTTCCCCTGTTCCTCCCTCCTCAGAAAATCTTCACTTGTCCAGTGGCCCTAAGGTCTAAGTGACCTATTCCAGTTTTGTAAGCCCCTATTTGAGCAATGTGAGGAGTACTGCCTGCCCAGCCCCTTCTCGTCACTGAGGGGCTCAGAGGACTGTGGTGGAGGAAGGCCCCAATTCTCCTCCCACTCCTTTTTTGACTTGGCACATGGCCCTTGCAGGTGGAGCAGCTTTATGCCAGGCAGATGATGGAGGAAGCGGGCAAGACCTGTGGTGCTGGTTCCCTGATGCCAGCCCTGGAGGAGCCCCAGCTAGACCAGACCTTCCGGATGTTTCCAGATATTTGTGCCTCACATCAGAGACCCTTTTTCAGAGAAAATCAACAGATCACCGTCTAAGCCTCTTTCCGGGCATCCCACCTCGCCCGAGACTCAAGTGTCATGATTCTTTGAGTGACAGGATTATGAAGGATGTGAACCCCCCTGACTAGGGTGGGCAGTGTCCCCCGTGGGGCCTCAAGAAGCCCAGCCATGGACACGCTCCTGCTCAGGCAGATGTTGAAAGCTTGCAGAGGCTGTGGCCAGAACCCTGCAATTAAAACATTTTTTTAAATGAGTTTTTTCCTTTACCATTAATGGCTATTCTTTCTGCATGTTGGAGTCCCTTTGACAGTAAATCAGTCTGCCAATAGAGCCATCTTTGTCCTAGAGATTTGTGACTTCCCCTGCTTGATTGTATACAATGCATCTTTTTACTATTCGGCCCTTTTCTTTTAGTTTTTGGCCAGAAGGCTGAGAAAGTAAGTTGATACATTTTTTTTTTCTCAAAAAGCTTCTGTAATGAGGTGGTCCCAGGTAACCTCTGTCTCCTGTCTAAATGGTTTTCATTTTTTAAACAATATTTGTATTGCATGACCGCTGTCAATCACTTTGGACCTTTCCTGTAAAGGGCAGATTATAAATAGGAGCGTAGATACTGCTTGTGGGTTTCATATGAATTTTCGTTGTGGCTCATCAATTCCCATGACTCTGTGTCAGCTGGCGGGGGTTTGCGTGGGGCATGGTAGGACCAGGAACTGTGGAGAGGACCTGTCCATACGCATCTCACCCTTCCATTGTCCCACTCCACATATAGCCCTAAGGCCCAGTGAAAAGCAATGTCCAAATTGCACTCTAGGCTTAGAGGTGCCCACCCACATACCAGAGAAAGGTACATATCCTGCACAGCACAGGGCAGAATGCCCAGCTGTAGCATGCTGAGTAGAAGCCAGGGTGAAAAACTTAGTGCACGGCTCTGTGACAGAGGCCCGTTTGTGCCCTCAGTCTGGCCATCCAGTCTAGTATCTAAGTAATTTAAATCACTGGCTGTGGGGCCGCAGGACCGCCTCCAGGGCTGCTTCCTGTAGGAGTGAGCCACTGCCACTATCCGTGCACAGCAGGTGCCGATGCCAAGCTCATTGGAAGGGAGCATCCTCTTCCTTCCACTCTTGTCTGGAGACAGGAGAGACCTCCTGGATCTGTTCTCCTTTGTCACCAGCCTGGGTCCCTCCTAATGTGCTCAGCATTCCACAGTGAAGGGCAGGAAAAGCTTTACCTGTTGACTGTAGTTCTGAGAAGTGGGGGAAAGTATGAGGGCTGAGGGGCTCGGCAGGCCACGCCTTGCAACCAGAAAAGCCAAAGAACACGGAGAACTTCATGGCTGTTGTGTGGAGGTGGCAGAAGTGGGCCAGCTCAACAGACACCGTCGCCAGAGTGTGTGCTGCCTGTGAACAGAACCCGGGGCTTGCTTCTCCCCCTCGGCCAAAGCCAGGAACATCTCTTCTGAAGCCAGGACAGTCTGTCTGCTGGCCACGTGTCACAATGTGTCACATGTCACCTCCTGCCTCCGTGAGTGCTAGCGCATGAATCTGTAATCCAAATATTTATTTTTGTATCCATTGAAAAAGTATTGATCTTATTCTTTATTAAAGTAAATTACTCTTTCATAAAAGTGATATCTGTTCCTTTTTTTAAAAAAAATAAACCACTCTTGAATATAATTTTTATTAGATTCCAGGATTTAAAAAAAACATTTTGATTAAAAAAATTGAGACAAGACCTGACTCTGTAGCCCAGACTTTGAACTCATTGCAATCCTCCTGCCTCAGCCTCCTGAGTGAGGGGAGCATAGGCATTAGTCACTATGACTTTGAAGATTTTTTTTTTAGGTGCTTACACTTTTTATTTCAATTGTATAAAAGTAAATACGTTCAAGTACAAACAGAAGACTAGAAGACAATGACAAATACCACGACAGGAACTATCTCTAAGACGTAAAAAAGCAGGCTGATGTGTTTTCTTTTTCCCTTTTTCAGTGATGAATATGTTAATTTCATAACCACGAAAGAACAGCTAGTGGTTAGCGCTGAGATCATGTCTTAGTATTTTGCGGCATCTTATAAAACATCCTTTGTTGACATCCTACAAATGATAGCATCCAATAATGTCCCAATGCTCTCTTCTTGTGACAGTTTGTATGCCTTTCTGACTTCTGAGAGGTTTGTTTTCTGGAAGGCTTTCCAAAGGCACCTGCTCACCTTCCACTTGAGATATTAGGTGTTGTTGGTGTATTTGTTTATCTCCCTCTTCAACGTAAACAATCAGAACCGAAGTGTTCCTTTCTGAGATACCAAATTTTTTCAAAGCCTCTGAAATGTTGTTATTAGGGGAGAGGTTGAAGATAATTTCAGTGGACAGAGTTCTTGTCTTCATTTTTCCCAGCTTGTGGAGATGAATGGCTTTGTTTGCTGCCACCAGTATCTGAAATGGATCGACAACCATATGAGGGTTTATCAATGAACCATTGAGAGATCCTTCCATGGCCTTTTTCTCAAGTCCCCTGCATTTTTTACATCTTTAAATAACAGAAGGGTCACTCTGCATTCAGGAAACAGGTCCAACTGCTGAGATAACTGCATTTCCTAGACAACGAGGGCACTACAGCAGTCTAGAAGATTTTTTTTTTTTTTTTGAGACAGGGTTTCTCTGTGTAGCTTTGGAGCCTGTCCTGGAACTTGCTCTGCAGACCAGGCTGGTCTTGAACTCACAGAGATCTGCCTGTCTCTGCCTCTGCCTCCTGAGTGCTGTGATTAAAGGCGTGTGCCACCACCGCCTGGCAGCTTTGAGGATTCTTAAAGAAGGAACTTTAAAGAAATAATGGAATAGTGGACTGAGATTTTAAGAATTTTATTTTTGGTTCCCAAGACAATGGCAGAAAGGTCTGGAGAATGGAACAATGGGACTGGTACACAGAAGATACTGGAGAGTGCAGCGGACCATGGATACCGTTCAGAGGCCTGTTTGGGTTTTAGTGAGTCCAGATGGTGTTAAGTGTGGGAAGGCATGGAGGAAGGATATTGCACTGATAGCACCCTTCTGGAGGCTTCTGGAAGTATTAGGGTGATGGTTAGCAGGCATAGCGATGAAGTTTGACCTTCCATTTCCATGCACACCCTCATGCTGGACACAAGTCCAGCATGGCCCCTCACTGATGCTGCATCCAGCCCAGGAGCCATTGCATTAGCAACTGAGAGAAAAGCCCCCACTGCAGGTGGGCATGGGCTGGTAGTTCAGGTGGGCACAGGTTGCAAGCTCAGGTGGGCGTGAGCTGTGAGTTCAGATGGGTGGATACAGCCTAGCACATCCTGTCACGGAGGCAATGCATGCCACCTCTGCTCTCATGGAATCCCTCAGAGACAAGGCCTGTTAGTCACAGCTTATAGATGTGGAAAGTGAGGCAGGGGCCCATGCTTGGCTGATGTGAAGCTTTCTGGGAGCACACTAAGGAGCCTCTGTGCAAGATCCTTGACCCCGAGGACAATTGACCCCAGAGCAAGATCCACTGGGGAGCTAGTGTTCTGTTTTCTCTTTTACTGCCCACATAAGACACCAACCTCAGAGACAAAAAGGGAGGAGTTGGGTGGGTTGGGGCAAGGCCAGGGTGCACCTGCTTGCTGTATGAGAACTTGGTTAGGCTGGTGGAGGGTGGGGGGAGAATGTGTAGCCACAGGACAGACTAGGGTTTCAACCACTCCAAGCTCACCAACTGCTCATGCTCCCAACTCTGGGTTTCCTCATCCGTAAGAGGGATTCAGTATCACACACTGAGGATCAAATGACCTGCCGCTCAGTAAATATCCCGCCCCCACCAGAGGTGCGTTTCCGTTTATCACTCATTTGTGATTAAACTGCGTGATTAAATAGTCGCACTATAAATATTAAATAGTTCCTGTCAATGAACTGTAACGCCAGTGGTTCAAGTATGTGTGTCAGTCAGCTACATCAGTATGTAATTGTTGGTGGGGTGAGGTCCTGGATTCCTGTCTTCCAAGCATTCGTGAGGCTGAGGCAGGAGGATGGTGAGTTCCAGACCATCCAGGGCCACACAGTGAAACACTGTCTTAAGAAACCAAAGCAAAGCAATAATAATGGAATAATAAATACTCAATTGCTAGGATTGCTAAAGCAATGCATGAGTGTGTAGAATTATATGGTTCCCTTTAGTTATGGACACTGATTCAATTGTAGATGATATGTGATTGCTTCTGAAAGCTGTAGCTCTAAACAGTATATTTTACACACACACACACACACACACGAGATGATTAAACTTCTCTCGTGAAGCTTACTTACACAGGGTCTCAGCTAGCCTAGTGGCCAGGCTGCCTTGATCCCAGCTTCCTGCCCAAAGCCTGGAGTACAGTAGCACTCCATTTTATTATCTCTTTGTTTTTGAGAAAGGGTCTTCGTCTTAGTAGTCCAGGCTAGCCCCAGACGTGTGACAACCTCCTGCCTCAGCCCCCCAACTGCCTGTGTCTATGTGGTAGGGTGGCTCTGATGGTCACATGGCAGGTGGTGGGAGGGGCCGCAAGGCGCGGTCTATGATCCCCAAGGATCTGTGACGATCAGAGCTGCTGAGAGAAGGGAGAGCCCCTTTCGACCTTCTCCCGACAAGCCGTAGGAGCATGAAGGCCGTTCCACAGTTTCTTAGCGGTCAGATGGACTCTCACACCCCAAAGGAGGCGTCACTGTGACCACCTCCCTGGAGACCACTGAAATAGTGTGCTTTAGGTCAGCCTTTCCTACTTGGTGGAAGGAGAGAGGCAGGAGAGGAGAGGAAGGGCAGAATCTCAGGGTCTAGGATCACCTGTGGTGAGACATGGGGAAGGAACAGCTTTTGTGGATGCTGCCCAGTGAGCAGGTTCCTCCTGGTCCCTTCAGCATGTTCAAGTGGAGGGCTGAATTCTGACTTGGAGCTGTGTTACTGAGTGGGACTGAACTCAAAGCCTGATAGGTGATACCCTTGCACTGAGAGTCTGGTGACTATAATACCCCCTGCTTTGCTTTTGTCAGGAGTATACAAAAATGGAAACTTAAAAATTGCCCGAATCTCCAAAAGGACACAAGGGATCCCCATGGCAGCTCCTTGGCCAGCTTTGGGGGAGAAGAATCAGTGTCTCAGCTGCCCCAGATGCCCCTTTCCTACCTGCCTGTGGCTTCTGCAGGGGTCTCTCGATCTCCGCAATGCCCCTGCTTCTGTCTGGAGTGAGCTGTTGGACAAAGCAGGTTAGAGATCCTG